GTTGCTAACAGCTGGAGTCAGTGTTGCTAACAGCTGGAGTCAGTGTTGCTAACAGTTGGTTGGTGTAGCTAACAGATGGATTTGGTGTCACTGACAGATGGAGTTAATGTCACTAACAGCTCAAGATAGCGTTGCTAACAGAATAATGCCAGTTTTTAGGTTAATTCAATTTCTGAGCATGTTTTTTTCACAATAATTAGTGACTTTTTGTTTGGATATTACAGAGACCACAACCTCTGGAGAGCCTTCCTGTGAACATACGCCAGGTTAAAAAATCTGCATTGGATGCATGTCTACAACAACAGACATCATAGTATACAGTCTGCATTGGATGCATACCTACAACAATAGACATAGTAATACAGTCGGCATTGGATGCATGCTTACAACAACAGACATATTAGTAATACAGTCGGCATTGGATGCACACCTACAACAACAGACATCATAGTAATACAGTCTGCATTGGATGCATACCTACAACAATAGACATAGTAATACATTCAACATTGGATGCATGCTTACAACAACAGACATATTAGTAATACAGTCGGCATTGGCTGCACACCTACAACAACAGACATCATAGTAATACAGTCGGCATTTAATGCATACCTACAACAACAGACATCATAGTAATACAGTCGGCATTTAATGCATACCTACAACAACAGACATCATAGTAATACAGTCGGCATTTAATGCATACCTACAACAACAAACATCATAGTAATACAGTCGGCATTGGCTGCACACCTACAACAACAGACCTCATAGTAATACAGTCGGCATTGGCTGCACACCTACAACAACAGACATAGTAATACAGTCGGCATTGGCTGCACACCTACAACAACAGACCTCATAGTAATACAGTCGGCATTGGCTGAACACCTACAACAACAGACCTCATAGTAATACAGTCGGCATTGGCTGCACACCTACAACAACAGACATCATAGTAATACAGTCGGCATTGGCTGCACACCTACAACAACAGACCTCATAGTAATACAGTCGGCATTGGCTGCACACCTACAACAGACATCATAGTAATACAGTCGGCATTGGCTGCACACCTACAGCAACAGACATCATAGTAATACAGTCGGCATTGGATGCTCACTTACAATAGACATCATAGTTATATAACAAATTTTATACTTCATATTTATATTTACATTATTATGTTTATGTTCATAATTTTATGAATCATTGAATAAATATAAAAAGTTGGAAAAATATCTTTTTTTTTCAAGTTCAAGTTAAGCAACAGTTAAATAAAGTATGCTTCGGGACTTGATGTTCTGCATTCTTGCATGTTGAATCAGTCAAGTACAATAAAAGTGATGGTAGGATCTGACCTTAAACTGTCCTGATTCATCAACTTGCATGAATGAAAGCAGCTTCTCACATTATACAAATCTTCATTCAGTATGAAACTGAAGCTGGTTTGATAAAAGGACTGTTTTAATGCAGCTAATTATAATTTTTAAAAAAGGGTATATGAAAGAAAGATATCAATTTATTTACTAAAATCAAAATTTAATATGCCTCAATACATACTTGGGTGTAGTTTTACAAGCAAATGGGAAATTCAATGAGGCTACACATGTCTAGCAAATAAAACTGCCAGGGCTACATTTAGTCTTCAGAAGAAACAGACTGTAATACATACCTTCATCTATTCAAGGTTTGTTTACAAATATAGGGTTTTGATAATATTGACAACATGAAATAGATCAAAACACCAGTTAAACAATTGCATATCAATTTTTTTTTAAATCATTAGGGGTAAACAATTTTCACCAAATCTATCTTGCAGATCAGAACTCGGTGAGTACCCACTATTGGTAGATAATAAAGAAGCTTTTGTAAAACATTAGTTACGGCTAGTAATGCCAGAAAATACTCAAAACAGGCATTTCATGAACATCTTGATTTGAATTTTTTATGGCTTAAAGGCAGTTGAAAAATGATTAAATTAAAACCCACAACACAAAAATCAAAGAAAGCTTAGAACTCTCGTGTGCTGAGAGTATTGAAGATGCATTAAAAATTAATTAAAAATTACTTGTACTTTAGATATTGATGGAATAGATGAAAAATAATTATGTAAATCAGGTAACTGATATGAGAAGATTTGAGTGTAAAACTAATAAGGCCTGTGTAATGTAATATCTATGTACCAAGTTTCATTGAAATGTGATTAGAACAAAGAAAACTATGAATTATTATTGAAGAATTAATATGAACAAATTTCAATCCAAAATTAATTGTCCTAGAGCATCTATGTGCCAAATTTTATTCAAATATGATGATCAGTAATTGAGATATGGGTGTTAATTATTTAATGAGGTGATTAATAAGCATAAATATTTACCAAAAACTAATTGGGTCTCTGCATAGTCCTAGGTTCATTGAAATGTGATGACTACTCTTTAAAAGTTTCATTAAAATCCAATTAGTGAACCACTTATATCAGTGGAATATTCACTAATTATGCAAAGTAGGTAATTAATATCCACAATTATTTACCCTAAAATTAATCAGGTCTCTACATAGTCCTGGAGGATCTAGGCAGCAAGTCTCATTGAAATATGATGATCAGTACAGTTATCAGGCGAAATGCTGAAAATTAACTAATTATGCTAATAAGGTGATTAATATGCACAAATATGTACCCCAAAACTAATCAGGTCTCTGCACAGTCCTTAAGTAACTATGTACTAAGTTTCATTGAAATGTGATGATTACTACTTGAAATATCAAAAGCTGAATATTAATTAATTATGCAAATTAGGTAATTAATATGTACTGATATTACCCTAAAAACTATCAGGTCTGTGCAGTGCCCTATGACATCTATGTACCAAGTTTTATTGAAATGTGATCATTTCTACTAGAAATATCAAAAGCTGAAAATTAATTAATTATGCAAATTAGGTAATTAATATGTACTGATATTACACTAAAAATTATCAGGTCTGTGCAGTGTCCTATGACATCTATGTACCAAGTTTCATTGAAATATGATGATTCCTACTAGAAATACCAAAAGCTGAATATTAATTAATTATGCAAATTAGGTAATTAATATGTACTGATATTACCCTAAAAACTATCAGGTCCGTGCAGTGCCCTATGACATCTATGTACCAAGTTTAATTGAAATGTGATGATTCCTACTAGAAATATCAAAAGCTGAAAATTAATTAATTATGCAAATTAGGTAATTAATATGTACTGATATTACACTAAAAACTATCAGGTCTGTGCAGTGTCCTATGACATCTATGTACCAAGTTTCATTGAAATGTGATGATTCCTACTAGAAATATCAAAAGCTGAAAATTAATTAATTAAGCAAATTAGGTAATTAATATGTACTGATATTACCCTAAAAACTATCAGGTCTGTTCAGTGTCCTATGATATTCATGTACCAAGTTTTTTTGAAATGTGATGATTAGTACTTGAGATATCAGTGGAAAAGCCAACAATTTATTAATAATTATGCGAATTAGGTAATTAATATTGCACAGATTTTTACCCAAAACTAATCAAATCTGCGCATTAGTTCAGAGCATCTATGTGCCAAGTTTCATCAAAATCCAATGGGTGGTTCTTTAGATATCAGTGGAACAGTCATCGAACAGCTAAAAATCAGCTAATTATCATGCAAATTAGGTAATAAATATGCATGGCTTTTTACCAAAACCTATGCACCAAGTTTCATCAAAAACCAATGTATGGTTCTTGAGATAGCAGTGGAACAGACGGACACACACACACACACACACACATACATACATACATACAGACATACAGACATACTAACTAACTGCAAAGACTCCCATTGTGTGCTTCGCACACGGGAGTCAAAAATATGTTGAATTCTGGAGTTAAGAAATCGAAAACGAAAATAGAAAACTTAGGACATTTGCAAGTTGTACACTTTTGAACATTATTTATTGATCCTTAAGAACGAAACACAATGACACGTTTTAGAATAAGTGACCATACATTAGAAATAGAGACATACCCAACCTAAAATGAGAACATGTAAATATTGTAAAAGAAAAATATAGAAAACACAGACAAGAATATTTATTTTTAGTTTGATCGATCTTCTCAGGAAGCTGTTTTACGCCCTCTTGTGGTATAACTTGTAAAATGTGATGGTGCCCTCAACATTCGCTGGTTTTTGAAAATCAAAGATGTCAGCGTCCATATGAAAAAATGCTACCAAATACCATTCCGTTCGAATAGTATTTATAAAAGGTAAGTGAAGTTTGGGTTTTGTCGGGACTAGTACGTCAATTCTTTGTAACTTTTCTATATGGTGCAACATAGACGAGTCTCATTCATAAAGCCAACACACGTCCACGATCGAGATCGATTCAAATTCAGCCATTTTAAACATTTCATCACCAGATTTCACGCCAAAATTTATCTGCACTTTTTGCTTATATTTTTTCAATATTACTGGAAATGAACCCTAATTTTGGGGCCAGCAAATAAAATTTGAGTTAATTTTCAATTTTTACCCCAAAAATTTGCTATTTTTGTCCCAATTTTTTTGAGGAAAGTGCAGACTAATGTAAACACGACTCATTTGTGATGAGAAGAGTGAACTGGTGGTGAAAAGATTGATCGAGTTGCGGCATTTTTATTTTTTCCTACTTTCGTCTACGATATTTATGAATACATAATGATTAAATTCACTATTTTGGCTTTTCGCAGAATTTTTCTACAAAGGTCAAAATAGTGGTGTTGGCATCGACAGTGTTCGGATTTTAGGTGTATGTATATGTGTTGAAAGTAGCATGTTGACAGTATCCGAAATAGTACTAGATCTAAGAGTAAAATGACACTGGATCTAGTGCAAAATATACACAGTGCAAGTGGCTTTGTTATCCACATTGTCAATGACGTTGAGAAATGACGTGTGTATATCAAATTATTAATATTTGCATAGAATTCCTGTATCATCATCGTCCCCGACTTGTGTTTTGGATTCCGTCCGACCGTCCACCCATCATCATTTCTCAAGAGACGCCTGGACAGATTTTCTTCAAAGCATGTTCACATTGATTTATTTTTGATTTGGTTGTCCTTTGACCGACTGGCGGCCATTTTTGTCATCAATCGTTTCTCGGACATGCCATGACCAATTTTATTCAAACTTGGCATTGACAACAGTCATGGTGGGTTACTGATGCACGTCAACTTTTTTCAGGACATCGATTCAAAATTGCCGACTGGTGGCCATTTTGTTTTTTACGAGTGTTCTGCTCATTTTACAGAGATGATTGTATAGATTTGGGTTAAATTTTGTACAAAGGCAAGATATCCCAACTGACAGCCATTAATTGTCCCAAAAATCAATATTTGGACATGTCATTAACAGTTTCCGGGGCATGTCTTGACCAATTCATTCAAACTTTTATACCTGTTTTATGCACATTTGTAGTTAATATGCTAAATACTATCCCAATATTTAAACATAATCTGACTATGCTTTTCATTGTTTGACAAACACTAAAAACATGACGGGGAATATGTCATTGACAATGACTTGTTATCTAAGAAATGCACCAAGTGCCTGTGCCCCCCGGTCCCAGTGAAATGGCAACATCACTAAATTACTGACTGGCAAAATAAATGCTACTGCTTGTGCATCGCAATAGTAAAGATAATAAATTTGAGACGATGCATTACTGATCTAAGCTGTGTAAAGTAAAATAAACAAGGTCATTTCTGGTGACAAGGCAGCTTGTAAGAATCCAAATTCAAGTCGGCTGTATGCACAGTTCTTTCTAGAGTGATGTGGTCTATGCTGCTACATTCAATAAATATATGTTGTGTGAATACATATTTCCGGCCGTATTTCGTTCTACTGTAACTCTAAACCTGGTTTCTGAACGATCGGTTGTTTTCCCATTCTGTCTTGCATTGTTTTCATCTAAGAGAATTTAATAATTGTCTGAGATTACTTGTATATTCAAGTATACACGGTAATTGTGTTGATTGTCCCTGCATCAGCTAATGCGCTTGTGTTACAACGTGTAAATGTGACAACGAGCTCATGCTCCCACGGATGCAGAGAAAAG